TCTATCACATCCTGATATCAGTTAGAGAACCACTGGAGAACCAACTGGAAGTACTGGGCAGCTGCTTCCTCCGTCCTAGTGTGGGATTCTTCCCCAGTACAAACCCTATGGGCTTCGAACCCAGGACCTTCTGCTTTCAAGGCAAGCTAGCTAGTAGACCATTAAGCCACTGGGACCCGATCCAATGGCCCATGAATTCTAACTTCTGCCAATTTATGACATAGTGCAACCAAACTAGGACGAAACAGCTGTCCAGTACTCCATGCAGGTTTTCCAATGGCTCTCTAACTGATGTCAGCTTATGATGAAACCCTCCAACCAATCAAACACATTACCTTCAAAACCACTACTTGAAAATCTACCATATCCATTAAATTCTAATGATTTTATATGTTACTATTCTTTCTCCCGCACATTTCTGTTTATTATAGTTCTTTCGAGTCTGTTTCATTTCTCTACCTCGGTGTATTATATGAAGTGTGTCAATCTGAACTCCTGCGCTTCTTTGCTAAACTCAGTCTATTTTACTTCTGAAATTTAGCATGATGTTATATGAATGATGATGGATTGCAGTGGAATCCAGGAAACGCATGTCATCCTCTTTGTGGAACTCATCAGCTGGATATACGTGGATTTTATCAGGTACACAGATTGTCAACAGAAGTTGAGCATTTCAGTTCAATAGAATCTATCAACAAGAAATTTAAACGTGATTTCATTGAATAACACCTGATACTGTCTGGACGAAAGGTGATTGATGTGTAGCCCACTGGCCTGCTGGACAACGCTTTGTCTTCCGAAATGATGGGTGCTTGGTTCAAGTTTCATTGGGACTATCACCACTTGCTGGGAATGCAGGCAAATCCAGGTGATGATTTTCTAACAGGATTAAATGAATATCAAGAATATCACTGCTAGCCACCGTCAACAAGGCAGTATCATTTCAGCCTCCAGGAATCATCGGGGTATCCATCCCAAGAGCACTTCAGTGCAATCAGAATCAAACACCAGGTTATACAAAAGTAATAATTACATCAAATAAACATTTAACTTCTACTAAATAAAAGCCAACAAAACTCAATTAGGCGCTTGTAGTGAAGGGGATTCAAATCCTTTTACCTATTGTTTGTTTAAGTAAATACACTTCCTGTTTACTTTTAATTAAATTCAGAAAATTTATTGTCAGGATAATGTAACATTTTAATGACAGGAAATGAATAATCATTAATTAATTGACTTATATATACATATATATACTGATATGAAATTATATTTCTATAAATACAGATGGGATTCAGTGAGAAGGATGATTGCGAACATTAAAATGAACTGATTGTTCATTTCCGTCTGTAACAGATCGGCCTGATTTCGATGCATTCACACATTTTAAACAGATGACAGAACTCACTGTAGCAACCAAAACCGACTCTTTATGGTCTGAACTCAGGAGACTGATCTCTGTGTTCTATCTACTGTATACTTGGCAAAACTTTTTTGAGACATGAACAGTCGCGAAACGCTCCAAAAGCAACAAGAAGAAGACTAGGAGTTAATTGGTGGGTGATGACTAGCAGTGGAATCCAGGATGCGTATTTCGTCATATACGAGACTCGTCATCTGGATGTACCTGCATTTCGCAGCGAGTGGTGATGTTCCCACCGAGGCTGGAACCCAGTGCCAAAATAGTTTCAAACACCAAAGCGTTACCCACCAGACCACTTGGGCCACGAGAGCCACATTTTGTGCAACGGGTCATATTAATTATTTAATTGAATTTTAGATTTTCCCGTCGATTGATTGGACCGAAGTGCTCCTCGGTCTCAGGTTGACATGTCGGCTTCTTGTGTGCAGATGCAGAAGACGATTACTTATCGCTGGAATCTGTGGTTCTGTTAAACAACAGCAGTAGCATGAAAAACTCAGAATTGCCTCAAGAGTGCCGCTAGGCAGCTATACAATTCAAGTAGAGTATTTCCAATAAGATGGGTTTAAAAATTCTCTCGACAAGAATCACACACCAACGCTACTCACGAACAGTCCAAGGTCAGAATGTCTTTCATTCACTCAAACAAATCACATCGTACAACACATTATCAATGTATACACACAATCAAAAAGAGAAGCATTATAATTAGAGATTTAACAGAAATGAAGACTAATAATAAGGATCAAAATAACATACGATATGCAAATGTCAGAATAATGACATACATACAGTTGAGGAGAACAACGGATAATAATTACAAATATTGTGATTAGATCGTTCAAGAGGGATTTTCCAAACAGTATTTCCATTAAACTCACATTTAATTCTATTCTAGACTCGTTCTCTGGGTTTATTTGTATTTTTTATAGCATTCCACTGTTCCTACTGAGGGTTCAACCCAACTCTGCCACTGCTCTGTTGGTCTATCACGCAACCCTCCTTTTCATTTCAGTGAGACATTGGGATTATTAATCACTTAACTGTGTTACTAGATGGAATCCAGTGATCAAAAACCTCTTCTTTTTTATCCTCACACAACTCCTCCTGAAGTTAGTCATGGTGTGTACACTTGGAAAAGACTTCTAATATTAAGGCAAGAGATGTTCAGTATGCTCAGTTTATAAAGGAATAGTCTTTAAATTATAACCAGTTTAGTTTAATTGTTCTAGACTGTATACAGCTGAAAAGACTCTACGAAATTTAGACGATAGTTTCATATTGTCCTGCTAAATTTATTGTTCTTACTTTTTTCATGTTGATCAAGGGGAAAAAACAGTCTCTGTATGAAGTTGTTGATTTCTCAGAGCCTATACAAATAATACAGACAAGAATAAAATAAGAATGGAACCTGAGTTCTCGTCACACGATCGATTATACTGTATGTAATGTGTATTCTACTTGTCATCTCCCCAGAAAAGCTCATTGGACTACTGAACTGTTTGCTGTACTTCATAACTGAAATTGTAAATTTAGTCTGATGCTCACTAACGCAGTTAACCTGGGGTTCTAGTGGGAAGCCGTGACCAGTAGGGTACAGCAGGTTGAAGATGAGGCAGTAACTCATCGAAGAAGACATTGCGAAATGGTCGCGCTATGTCGTGAATTGGCAGAAGTTAGAATTCATGGGCTGGCCACTGGATCGGGTCCCAGTGGCTTAATGGTCTACGAGCTAGCTCACCTTGTAACCAGAAGGTCCTGGGTTCGAACCCTGATGGTGGGTGCGTACTGCTGAAGAGTCCCACACTAGGGCGGAGGGAGCAGCTGTCTGGCACTACTCCCAGTTGGTTTTCCAATGGTTCTCTAACTGATGTCAGCTCATGATGAAATCCTCCATACAATGAAACCAAAGCCCAACAAAAAAAACCAATACTTGAAAATTAGTCAATAAAATCAATACCATATTGATTAATACACAAATTATAATTTACTCTACTAGAACAAACAAATAAATAAATCGATTTAAAATGAGAACACGTGAAAGAGAAGAAAATTTTCTTTTCGACGAGTTATTTGTAAAAACTGCTATGCAATCGTATTTATATTCAACAGTTAAATACTGGTATTTATGTTGTAGAAAATGTTGTAGTACATAATGTGAGGATTGTTCTAGAAGGTACTACAAGAGAAGTTATGCAGAAACATAAGAAGGGTTACCACATAATAAGCGTGAAAATGACCTAATCTTTTCGAATAAAAAAAAAAAAACAAACAAAAGATAATGGAAATACTGCAGAGTGTTTAGACATATATCAACGATAAGCAAAGGTAATAATAAAATTATGGTTACAGGATTTCATCATGAGCTGACATTGGTTAGAGAACCATTGGAAAATCTGGGAGTACTGGACAGCTGTTTCGTCCTAGTTTTGGACTCTCCAGCAGTACGCACCCACCGGGATTCGAAATCAGGACCTTCTGGTTACAAGGCGAGCTCGCATACCAATAGCCACTGGGACCCGATCCAATGGCCCATTGTATACTAAAACCTGCACTGGAAATGCTGTCTAGCAGGGCGACGAAAGCTTTGCAGTTAAATAAACTAGCTCAGAGAACACACTTAATTCAGCTCTTTAAAAATGCTCACCTATGATCCCACGGGAGATCAAACGATGAGAGCCGGTTGACCATTAGGCCACTAGCACAAGGTAATACCAACTTCAGAGCGTATGACAGACTATTCAAGCAACCTTCTTGTGTGGCCGGGATTAAAATATGCTTAAGGTCCCTTGAACATACTGATAATTCTTAACCTATTATCTAATAGTCTAATTCCTTCCATATTTACTCACAATAAATATAATGCCTTCTATAAAGTTGAAATCTATTCACATTCAATATAGCGAAAATATTCATTCAGACATCTATAAAAAACAAAATAATTGAGCAAAGAATATCCTTTTCGATAATTTCCTCTTCTGGCTCTACAATTATATATATGTCTATGTACACAGAATATTCTAGAATAGTAGTCAATAACAATATTGGTGTTTTTTAAATAATATCGATTTGTTAAGTAAGATCAATGGAATTACAGTTCATTAAAGATACGTAAATTATAGTAAAATATAATAGCAAATAGAATATCGACGAAAATTAAGGAAATTTCTACAAATAATTGAGGATCATTCGAACCCAGATGGCCATGTTAAGGGAAATTTCCGAGCTAGCTTCTTTTCGACACATAAATAAGCCCAACGGCCTCAGCAATATGTAGTAGACGAACTCTTAAGGCGAAGTTAAGATTTGTTGGTATGCTGTAGATGACTTTGAAAGCCGCCTCGTTGACACCAATCTTGTGTTCTGTATCCACAAGATGAGACAGAATAGCTCTACGAATAGATTTTGTTTATCCTTTACTTAACCACTTTGCAGGGTGATGTTCGGAAATCCAACGAGAAACACGCCTAATTGTACGGCCTTCGCAGCTGTCTACACAGGGGCAGTTAAATTGGTAAATACACATGGAAGAGGCGAAATTACTCTTACAACCTTTCGTTTTTGTTTTGTTTTTCAGAGATCAAACAAGTTTAGAATCTGATGAAAACTCCAAACAAAATTGTATATCCGTTTTACGACAAGGTAGTATTCCGCGTCAAATTGAAAATAAAACAGAATTAGACCGAAGTAAAGTTGATCAACTGTTGAACATTGATCAGAAACTCATCAACAACATTCGAAGAGAACTTTCAAAAATGTCTGTTGTCGAGAAAAGTCTAAATGTTAAAATATCAAAATTTTTAAATGAAATTCAACAGTTTCAACAGTCTATGAATTGTGTTTTAATCGATGCATCATCATCCAAGGAAATACATCAGTCACGTGTAATAACACCGAAGAAATGGCGTGAATTTATACGAAGACATTATGCATTGAAAGAGATTGACTTTTCACCACCTCAAACTCCATGTGGTTATAAGTAGAGATGTTTGTCGTGGCAGAGTTTCTTTTTACTCCGCTTACATATATATTCAGTTGTACAGGTATACAAAGAATATCGTCTTTAGATTATTGGAAAATATTTGAATATTTCGCAATCAATAACTGTACAAATTGTACTTATATTTATTACTTATGTATACTAACTTACTGCTTATAATTATTTTAGTGAATTTTGTTCATTATTGGAGACATAAAACTACTATTTCATGTCATGAACATTTACAAGGAATTTTGTTCTATCTGAGACAGAAAAGATTTGATAAGTCTTTTCAATATATGAAAGTAACAAGGTAAGATAATAGCGAACACGTAGTGATTTTGACAGCCGACTTTCCACTGTTATAAATGGCTTTGCAGAAGATTGTAGAGGTTTGTTTATTTCATTTTCTGCAAGTCTTTTTTCTCCATTTTGCTTTACCTCGGATTTTTTCATATCCTAACTATTTTCAATAGTTGGTTTGTAAGGATTAGATTTGTTTTTACCAGTTTGATCACGGATTGATATCAGTTAGAGAACCATCAGAAAACCAGGAAGTACTGGACAGCTGTTTCCCCCATCCTAGTTTGGGAATCATAGGCAGTACACACCCACTAGGTGGGTTTCGAACCCAGAACTTTCCGATTACAAGGCAAGCTAGCTCGTATACCATTAAGCCACTGGGACCCGATTCCATGGCAGTCCATGAATTCTAATTTTCACCAATTCGTGATTTAGCGCGACCCACCAACCAATGTCATCGATGGGAAATCCATCCTCACACTTGACTGGATGGACCTCACTGGTCACGACTTCTCACTAGAACTCCAGGAAACCGCGTCCTGTAGCAAGTCACTAGCGAGCATCAGATTAATTTTCAAGATTTGGTTTGTAAGGATTAGATTTGTTTTTACGAGTTGATCACGGATTGATATCAGTTAGAAAATCATTGCGTACTGCCGATGATTCCCAAACTAGGATGGAGGAAACAGCTGTTCAGTACTCCCTGGTTTTCATTGGTTCTCTAACTGATATCAGTCCGTGATCAACTCGTAATATCCAAACTATTCCAAACCACCGATATACGAAGCTTCGTGAGAGCAAGTGAACAGATATATGCAAAGCTGAAAACACGATATTTGTCGAATAACACATCAGAGAGGTAATATAATGTAAATGCTAGAATGGAAGCCCTTTGTCATGCAAGTTCTCCAAATCTACAACTTTGACATGAGAAGAAATTATTGCAAAAATAAAGAAAAGTCATTCAACGAACAGTTACTTTTCACGGCGATGTATAATACAATGCATAGTCGTAGTATCAGAAGGAATGTGTTCAAACTAGTGTCACTGAAGTTTTCAGTGCAGAAACATTAGTCAAGTAGAGACTATTGAAGAGTCAAGTAAGTCGAATGACGCAAGATGACTGGAAAGACTGAGTAAAGTGCAGTTAAAACTGGAAGAAGGTCAACTTAAGGTCATTGTCGTAAGGATTAGATATGTATAAAAATAGAATTTGAGCATTACGGTAGAATACAATTCCATCAGAGAATAATTCTATTTGATAAAAACACACAGTGATGCAGTACTGTTTACGGTTGGCGTTTCGTGCACAATTTACTGCTCATAATCATATCAAGGCTTTTATATACCTTTTAAAACATTAAATGTTGAAAACACGATGATTTGTAAGAAAGTTGTGTGGGGTTTGTTATAAAGCTTCCTAACAGGAATCAATGTGTACCGTAATGGCGAGCTATCTAGATTGGTGGCCAATTGCAAACTGACATTGCAAACCTGACTGATAGAATTCAGTCTGCACCAAACAAAGGGCCAGACACATCACACTAGTTACTAGTGTCCAATCAAAGTACCCAATACAGTCCTACAGGAGGTCAATCGCGAGCCCGAATAGCTCAGTGGTAACGTCTCTGACTGAAGGGGGGACTGGGTGACGCGGGTTCGAATCTCAGAAGGGACATGAGTTCCTTCAAGACGGTTGCAGATACTCCTTGCTGATGAGTGCCAACTAGCACGAAACCTAGGTCAAGCTGGGCTTCCTGTGGCCGATTGCCCCCAACCATCTAATATCATCAAATCAATGTGCACCATGATGGCGAGCTACCTAGAATGGTGGACACATTGCAAACTTGACTGATAGAATTCAGTCTGCACCAAACAAAGGGCCAGACACACCACACTAGTTACTAGTGTCCAATCAAAGTAACAGGAAGACCATTAGTTTCATTAGTATAAAAATTAATATGTTTATGAACAACAAGTTGGGTTTGAAACATCATCAGTAGATAATACTGTATCATAAGTTTTTACCAAATACGGGGAAAAGATAGGAAGAAAAAATTCCACTTCATATATTTAGATAAATTTGCGTATGCGAACTTCAGGATTTCCTATGTAGTTTGTCATGGTTTCCAGGGTTTGAAAAAATTTGATTCATACGCTTTGATCAAGATGTCCACATACTCTGTAGATGACTGTGAAGTCAGTTTGAGAGTTTGTTTGTTGATCAGAATCAATCAGATGTGCTAGACTCGTTGGTGAAAATGCATTTTAGTTAAATGTTACGCTGTTACGCTGATTTATTAATGTAAGAGGAGAATTAAACCAGTGTGGTAGAATATAAATTCATATTAGATGCGATATGAACAATAAGTTATGCTCAAAACACCATCCAATTAGTAATACTGTATTACTGTGTGTTGCATCAAATTAACTTATGTAATACGGAATCGGAGACTGACTTATTGTTAAGTACTGAGACCTATTCGTGATGAAATGTGGAATAATGTTCAGTCAGACAGATTATTATTATTGTTTCCTTTAATTCCTAGAGGAACATAGGGCTTCAGCCGTGCGTCTCCACTACGTTCGGTTCTCTGCTAGAGTTTTCACCTGGCTTCAAGTCTGCCCACATGCTTTCATCTCCTCTTCACATGACCTCCTCCAAGTCACCCTTACACTGACGACCAACTCGCCGCTTCCCTTTCGGCGGATTCCACTCGAGCAATGGCTTGTCTAGTGATGTCACTTGATGGTTTCCTCAGAGTATGCCAGCCAATCCATCTCCATTTCTTCCTTCCTATTTGTTTCACAATCGGTTCCTGCTGTGTTGGTTCGCTCATTGCCAGAGATCTCTGTTGCTGATCTTTTCTGACCGGCCATCTGATCTTGAGTGGTATTGAGCGAAGACAACTGTTAATGAAGGTCTGTAGTTTGTTTGAGATGCTCTTTATGACGCGCAGTGCAAGTCTCTGATCCGTATAGTAGCACTGACTGATTTCACATTGGAGTTGAAAATCCGGATCTTATTTTTGATGCTGAGTGTTGTTGACCTCCACACAGACTTGAGAGTAGTGAAAGCTTGTCATGCTTTTCCGATTCTTGCTTTGGTATCCTCGTCAGTTCCGCCTGTAGTTGAAACGATGCTTCCTAGGTTGGTAGGTAAAAGAGGTTGTTTCTTTCAGGTTCCTCCCATTTATGCTGATTGTTGTCAGTTGTTGTTGTTGTTGCTGTTGGTGGTGTCGCCCAGGAATTTTCATCACCTCTGTTTTATCTATGTTCACCTGAAGTCTTATCTTTGATGCTTCTTCTGCCAACTTGTTGCTTTTCGCTTGCATATCTTCCAGTTTGTGGGAAATCAGACATATATCATCGGCGAAGTCTAGATCCTCCAAGTTTTTCGTGTGAGTCAGACAGATAGTTAAGCAAAAATTCTTCCTACAGTCAGTTACTCACTCACTTGGAACAAACAAACATTATATCAAATTGGCTGGGAGTATTTGTAAGCAAAGAAGGTTCACAACCACGTCGACTGCCAAATGTTTAACCTGTCGATCGTTGGTAATAAGTACTAAACCAGAATGGAAGGCTTCTCACTTACTGTTTTTTCTTCTGACACAAAATCGAATTTAATTTCCTGTGATTTAGACCACCTAATCGAATGACCACACAGTAGGTTTGTTAGTATTGAACATTGAATGTTATTGACACTAAATGCTGACAATAAGCTAAATAGAAATTTTATCAGTTTGTTTCTTGTGAAACACACACAAGGCAGATAGTGAGGGAGCGAGCGAGCGTGCGCATGATAGAGAATGAGAGTAAAATTATTACATAAATATATTCACAAAACTGTCAACTAGGTGTGTAACAAAGAAGAAATTTATCAAATAAATAGATAAAAAACAAAACAAAACAACAAATCGGAAGATTTTTTTGGTCTTAATTTAGGTTAATATTTCTTTGTTAATTGGATACAAAGAAAAAGAAATGGAACTTGTGGTGCGTCCAGTAACGATATTTATTACTAAGCCTACTGTCAAATAAACAGTTAATTGATATTCATTTGAAAGATTTTTACATAGAAGTGAGTTATTCGGAGAAAATTTACATCATCACCACCAACAACAAGTCAGCTCTCATGTCCTCTGAATGCTGCTTTCGAAAACAGCAGAAGCTACACCGATTCTACTGAAACAACTGGAATTGTGTATTTCCTAGAATTTGTTTGTCGGGATTTAATTTCTTTCAAGTTTGGTCACGGATTGATATCAGTTATAGGACGGTTGAAAGCCAGCACTAGAGTACTGGATAGCTCTGGTTTGGGACTCTTGGCACTAAACGCCCACCGGATTTCGAGCCCAGGATCTTCCAGTTACAAGGCAAGCTCATAGGCCATTCAGCCACTGGCACCGGATTCATTGGCCCATGAATTCGAAGTGCCACTGCCGATGAGTCTGCAACTAGGATGAAACAGATGTCCATTTATCCCTGGTTTTCAATAGTTGCCTAATTGATATCAATCCGTGATCAAACTTGGAATTATGTATGCCAAGGAAACAAATTCAGCTACCCTTAAATTTTGTGGAATATTCAAACTCCTAAATACACTACTACGTTACACATGTTCAGATAAAAGTAAAAAGGCGAATTCAGAGAAGAAAAATGTCTTCTTTTCGGTTCTCGGGAACACTATCCGGTCTGTCTAGCAAAGGGAGGACGAAAAAGGAACATCTCCTGAACTCTGGACACTTAGCTGATTTTCAGAAATTCTTCAAAGTTCTACACACGATCCCTTGAAACCTCCTAAAGGCAGTGAAATCAAGACATCCAGGCATAGTTCATAGACTATAGACATCGTTTTCTC